CTATTGTACTTGATGCCATTTTCCCCAAATGAGCAAGATGCATTGCTGCTGCTGCTGTGACTGGCCTGGGACATTGTCACAGAATGATGTCAACTGCTGTAGCTGGACCTGTTACCAAAAGAAGTGGGTGGCTTTCCTATCCCAGTGGCCATCAAGATGACAGCTATACTAAATTCCTATGCCACTGGAGATCTGTGTGTGTTCTGTCAATTCTCAACCCACAAATGTGTAAGTTACCAGTGCAATTTGCAACGGGTCACACTGCATCATCTCAGTTCCCAATGACAAGGCCAGTGCTGCAGCGTAGGCATTGGGTTTTGCCAACATAGCTGGCATCCCCAGGTGCAAGGGCTATAGGATGTTTACATGTCAGGTTAAGAGCACCATGTCATAACATGATCGATGTCATCAGTAGAAAAGTGTTCATATCATCAATGTGTATCAGATGTACATAGTCATCGCTTGTAATCAATATCATATCTTAGCTGTCCTCACGAGGTACCCTAGAAGCTGCCACAATATCTATATTCATGATAACTCTCAGGTTCCTGCTTCTTTTAAAGGACCAGGTCCCTTTCAAGGATGGCTGCTGAGAATCAATGACTGATGACTCCATTATACAGCTCCCTGAATGAGGATGAGCATAGATACAATTTTGCCCATTGTTCCACCAGGGCCATGATGGACCAGATGAAAGGCCTCCTCAAGATGTGGTCCCGATACTCCGATCGGTCTGGCGCAGCCTTTTAGTGCTCTCTGGACAGTGTGTGTTCCTAGCATGCTGCTCCCTTCACAACTACAGCAAGCAGCAGTGAGCACATCCACTGCGAGTGACAGCAGGATCACATGAGGGTGACAGCTTTGAGAGCTGGTGCAAAGTTAATGAGGTGAGTAACAGAGAAGTGTGGGAGGAATCTCACTAGAGCTCATGGATAGAAACCCTCCATGTAATTCCCCAAAAGTGACACCCAGCCTGTTTTTGGGAAAATCCAGTCCATTGTGACCAACAGCCTCCTTTCCTAATATACAAGCCTCATTTAACAATAAAGTGTTCTTGTCAATAGTAATATTTTCCTGCAACACATACACCGACAACCATCAATTATGAAGTTGTACGTTTTTAAAGTTGCAAATATGCCAAGTCATTTCACCTGAGAAGAGGAGTGCATAAAGAAGGAACACAAGCAAACGTTGGTTTGTGCTAAAAACAGAAGACCGATGAGCAATGACCAATGCCATCAATGAACAAGTAGCCTTTGGGCAGGCTTAGGAAGTAGGAGTGACAAACAAAACCAAGAGATTGAACAAAAGAATTCCATCATAAAGGCATGTAAAGCAGTATGGAAATGTCACTGATGGTAGAGTCAAAGGTGGAGAGAGAATGGGAACTGAGATGTAGAGGTGGGGAAGGTACAGACATAGGACAGTGTGAAACCACTGAGACACTTTAAATAAGAGCAAGGATTTTGACATGAAAATTCACTGTTGAACAAGAAGCCAGTCTAAATATGTGAAAATAAGGGAGATATTCATTTAATCTCATCTTCAGATTCATTTCAGTTTCATCGCCAATATTTATCTTTCCCATGTAACTAGAAAATCTGGCAGCTACATGATTTTCCCTGTGATGCATGATTGCCGGTTCAATGTCCATTCCTGTGTGATTTCCTCCAGTTAAACATTCGGAAGACTGTAATCATGGTTTTCATCTGCTGCCACCAACTTCATTCCCCTTCCCAAATGCCTCAGGTTGAAACAAACTGCTCAGAATTGTGGCCGTCCATTCAATTCCGAGTAATCACTCCAACTGTCTTTTACATTTCATCAGAAAGACCACAGCACAGAACATTAATAGGAACGCCTGGCTGTTAATCTTCTCCAAAGCTATTTTCAAGTAACATACTTGATGCAAGTATAACAAATATAGCTATAGATGCATTCTCTGAAATTCAAGGCAATTATCTGCATACCTCTTTCTTTCTGTGCCTGACATAATCAAAAATAAAGTGCTTAATGTTTGGAATGGGCTGATATTTATTGTGTGTTCAGGTGTTCTATTTTGATCAGGTGTGGTCCATAAATACTGTTTGACAAACTCAAGTTGAATTATAGCTGACATCTGTAGTTAACAAGACAAGCCTGATTGTATTTATATTAAAGCAAAATACTACAAAAGTTGGAAATCCAAAATAAAAAGAGAAACAGAGTTAACATTTTGTGTCGGATGTGATTCTTCTTCAGAACTAAGTTGACTCTGTTTCTCAAAAAGCTCAGCAGGTCTGGCAGCAGGTCTGGAGAGGAATCACAGTTAATGTTTCAGGTCCAGTGACCCTTCCTCAGAACTGTTGGTAGCTAGGAAAAAGTTGTTTTTTATGCAGAAGATAGGGTGCAGGGAAGGGGTAAGGAGTAAACAATAGGTGGAGGTAGAGCCCAAAGAGAGAGAAGAACAATTGGATAGATAGAGGAATGGGAATACTCGTGACTAACAATGGGCTGTGTGTCTAGTGATTGCAACAAAATCAGCCAAGTGAACCTCATAGAATATGAATTCCCTGATTGGGGCTGTTAATCTGGTTTAATCAGGGAGCCCTAGCTGACAGATATTAACAGGAGTGTCAGAGGTTTTGTTCACTCTGAGAGGTGGCTCTGAGGAAGTTGGACCAGTGTCAAGTACTATGCATTTGGAAATAAAGGGTGACTTGATGATAGGATACCGGCCTCTGTGGAGTTATTTCAGTGTGTAATAGGAGACAATGTGATAACAAGGCCTTGTATGTTGGGGTTGGATAAAGACACGGGAGAAGGTGCCTCAAGCCCTAAAATTCTTGAACTCAATATTGAGTCCAGAAGGCAGTAGAGTGCCCAAGTGGAAAATGAGATGCTGTTCTTCCCTGTTGCACTGAGCTTTGCTGCAGCACTGCAGCAAGCTTGAGACAGAGATGTTGGCCACGGAACAAAGTGATATGTTGAAGTGCTACTTCTTTGTCTGTCCAACTGTTCTTATCCCTATTTGGGCTCTATCTCCACCTATCTTTTACTCCTTACCCCTTCCCCCACCCTATCTTCTACATAAAAACCAACTTTTTCCTAGCTACTATCAGTTCTGAGGAAGGGTCACTGGACCTGAAAGTTAACTCTGCTTTCTCTCCACAGATGCTACCAGGCCTGCAGAGCTTTTTTGATTTCCAGCATCCCACAGTTCTTGTAGTCTTTATTTGACTCTGTTTCTCTGTTCACAGATGCTGCCAGACCTACTGAGATTTTCCAGCAATTTTTCTGATTGTGTTAATGGCTAACAAGCATGATTATCACTGTCAGAATACTAAGCATAAAATATATTGAACTTGTAACTATATAATTCACTTGCTTAGCAAAATTACTACATGAAATGTTTCAAAATAAATATCTAGAGCTCTGATTACTTATTAATTTATAAAGGTAAAGTCACCATAGTTCCAGCAAAGGCAGAGTGGTGGGCAATGTGGTTGGGGGACTAGTTGTGAGTTTAACTTGAGAGTCTCCATGCCTCAAGGGAGGGGCAATGTTGATTAGGACAGGGCATTCATGGTGGCTGAGCTACTATAGAATAGAAACCACACTGTTGGCATCACTCTGCATTACAAACCAACCATCCAGCCAACTGAGCTAATTGACCCCCTAGACTGTATTACGTGGCTAAAGGTTAAATTCTAGTTAGTTTAAAAATAACCATTTAATAGAGTCATAGAGTCATCCAGTATAGAAAAAGACTCTTCAGTCCAACTTGTCTATGCTGACCAGGTTCCCTGAACTAAACTAGTCCCATTTGCCTGCGTTTGGCCCATATCCCTCTAAACTTTCCTATTCATTTACCTGTCCATTTAAACGTTGTAACTGCACCTGTATCTACCTCTTCCTCTGGCAGTTCATTTCTCATAAGAACCACCCTCTGTGTGAAAATGTTGCCCCTCAAGTTCCTTTTAAAACATTCTCCTCTCACCTTAAAATTATGCCCTCTAATTTTGAACTCCCCTACCTTTGAGAAAAGAACTTTGCTATTCACCTTATCTATGTCCCTCCGAATTTTATAAACCTGTATAAAGTCACCCCTCAACATCCCACACTCCAGTAAACCACATTTGTTATAAAGATATTAAAGCATGAAGCTTTCTGAAAGCCACATTGAAGATTTCCAAATGCTTTTACACAAAAAAAGATTATCTCAACTTTATTGAGTGGATTTTAGTTAATTTGATAGTGGATATTGACCACTCGTGTCCAAGGTTAAAAATAGCTCAAGTTAGGCCCAACTCTCTTCTTTACCCTTGGACTCCGAGATTAATCAGTGGGATTACAGAACACAACCCCTTATTGGGCCTGTCCAAAATTTCTCCTTATGATATTTTAACAGAGGAGTTTACCTTAAGCAGGCTAACTCCTCTGACAGAGAAGCAGAGAGAGGAGTTTAAAGGAAGACCATCGAGGTTCAAACATTAAAAAATAAAAGAAATTGCATTTATGTTACACCCTTCACATTCAGTATGAGGCAAAATGTAATACTGCCATTTAATTATTTTTGAAATGTAGTCACTGTTGTCACGTATGCCAAAATGACATTTAATTTACAGAGCAAGATCCTGCACATAGGTATGAGTTAGGTGGCCAGTTAGTTGTCTGCATCCTATAGTTAACGCAGAGACCGAGTTTTCCTTTAAAATCTGGAACTTGCATCTTCCCTGTGGCTTAGCACTATACGACTGCGTATGTACATCAACTATTGGAGGGAAGGGGTGGGATTGGGATTGGTGGTGGTTGAAATGGTTGGGAACAGGATAGGGCAATTGGTCTGTTTAATCTCTGAGTTTCTATTTATCACTATTTCTTCAATATTCCATTTGTTTTTCTATTCTTTATTGATATTCTGTTTTCTTCATGGACAGCCTCTCTTTCAAAACTGAAGGTTGACTCTTTTTTATTATGCATGATTAACTGAAAAGTCAACAAACAGAAAACAAGACTTCAAATATACTCCAGCACTGAGGTGTGATTTGCTTTCTATTTTATCAGTAAGTACACCATGGCATTCTTTCATTAAATAGAAATATATTGAGGAAAACAATGAAAACTGAAGCACTGACATTATTTACATTCCGTGGCTTCACCTACAGCAGTGTCCAGTCATTATTCACATTGATACAGTTACATACAGCACAGGCAGGGAGGGCACACTTCCATTTTAATGCTGTGATTTACACTGAATGTTAGTAGGTGGGCCTCAGGCACAGTCCTCACTAATCCTTCTTTATTTTCACCACACTCAATCTATTTCATAGTTAGACTTAACACTCTCAACAAAAGCCTCCTTCCAGAGGTTTACAAATGAAGTCTTTATGAGGAATTTATGAAGAATGCAGCTGGTGCTTGCTGACGGTGCGCATGTGAATCACCTCGTACACATAAACTAACACATCAATTATCTGACACTTTCATCCCTTGGCTTTCACATACGCAAATGGCAATCACAGAAGCATATCTCATCTACAGTGAAGGCAAAGAGGATCAATTGTAATGGAGATCAAGTCACGTGAATGAAACAGCTTCCTCCACTTGGAATTTGCAACAGAAACTTATCAGCAAATTGTTAAAAAGCACAAAAAAATCACTTTCTTTCACTCACTGTGTTCTGAGTCTCCTTCCCAGGAAATCCCTCATTGGATAGAGTTCACACTCCCATGTGATTCTCTTGGCTTTAATAATATGATTGTCTATTTGCATTTCAAGAAACATTTAACATACAGATGAGAAGCACAAAGTTTTCTCATTTGAAAATAAAAATGGCTAACAATATACAAAAAAATCTATTCCTTATTTATCAATGTCACTTGAATAGAGGGACAAATGATTGATCATGGGTCACTGAGCTGCTTTAGAGATGGATATGTCATCTTTAGCCCATCCATGCAACTTCTGAAAGCTCTTCCAAACTGAGCTTCATGTAACTAATAGGATTCTTGCAGGTTGTGACAATGTTCCTTCAAACAAGGACCAGAGTACGAGGTAAACAATTATGAATTCAGTATGAAGAGCAAATCACAGACTTGCTGATGGTGTTCAATATCTTGGTTTTCCTTTGATTAACTGCACCAAACACTGAATCTGCTGAGTGTGCTTAAATTAACCATTTTTCTTCATTGGGCTTTCAAATGAAGTTCTCAAAACCCCAGATTGAGCAACTGAAGAAGACATCATAGCGTACTGCTAATCACATGCATACTCTGTCCATTGATGTGTGCAATGCATTCAGAAAAGATGAGTCCGACTATGGTTTGGAACCCCAGCTACTTTTCCCCTTCTTTCGGCTTTTTAAATTCTCTCCATCTTCATCATAATATGAAGTCAGATCTAAAGATAAAATAGATACTTAATGTACTGGAAAAGGAGTGCTGTAGGTAATATTTAAAGGTGCCTAGCCAAAAACATTAAGCAGACCATTATTAATGACAGATTGAGAAACAAACTAATTTCAGTGCTCGCATTTCAACTCTTCCAGAGTTGCTTTTTACTTACAACACCTCATCAAGAGAAACTCTTGGCTCCTGTACTACTTCAAAGGCATTTATGAATTAGATGAATAGTATGTCTTGGCCAGCCTAGTTACAGCTTAGATATCTTGTAGGTAGATCTGAGAAATAGCAATGTGGTTTATCCCGCAGGCAGTTATGCAAAGTAAACCACAAGTTCCATTTCTTCCTCTGACATTATTCCTACCCCTTGAAGAAATAAAATATGATAAATTCAGCAATTAGAAAGATTAAAGACCATCTATTCACTGGATCCTTTGATTATAGCCAAAGTCATTGGTTCTCTGTTTATCTCTGATGAATAATGTACATGGAATATTCTGAAATACATTTAATATGTTGTTGTTCCATAAGTGCCAAAGCAAATGATTATGATAGAGCCATGTGACCTGCTCCATGCGCAACTTACGTCTCTACAAAGGCATAGGCAATACTACCTATGACTTTCAAGGTCATTGTGACTCATACTTTTACACAACTGGCCTTCCTAAGTTACAGTCCGTGTGATCAGTGGTGTCTCACAGTTTGTAGTCCATCATTGTGACAGAAGGTTATTGAACAAAGGTTCAATACCAGGAAGAATCACTACATCATATTCTCCATACATGAAGTGAACAATCAATACCAGAGATCACCAGCCTTTGTATCTATTGCAAACTTCCTCTGGGTGCAAAATGAAGTGGACTGAACCCATGTTGTCTTGCATGCTCTCAATTATCAGTCCGGCACTTTTCTGAATCAAGCTCCTGTAATGTGGCTTCAGAAGTGTTTAACAGAATACAATTGACTTCAAATCTGCTGAACTTTACCTTCACACTCTGGACAACACTTGTGTCGTCGCTTTACAATGTTCTCACATGTTAGTACTGGACACTTCTCTCGTTGGCACTTTGTGGACCCTTCCTAAAATGTCAAAACAAAACACAATTATTGGCTTTTGCTGTATCCTTGCACTGTTTGATAAGTTACATCAGTGATTCCATTTTTATTCTTAGTTGCATGTCTAACAAAATCATTATCAATTTTGGCTCAGCAGTAGCACTATTGCAATTGAATCAGAGAATTGTTGATTTAAATCTGGCTCCAGAGACTTAAGTGCATAGTAAGTGCAGTACTGAAAGAGCGCTGAATTTTTCCACAAGCTGTCTTTCAGATAAGTTGTTAATCTAGGATCTGTTTATCTTCTCAACTGAATTTAACTGATACCATGGCATTATTTACTGATTTACTGTACAAGATTTGTGCATATACTGTGCAATTTATTGTGACAAGATTTACTGATTTCTCTCCTGATTTTTGCCAAAACAAATGATCCTGCTCTTTGCTTTTTGTGGAATTGTGCTATGCATTAATTAGTTCCTATATTTCCCCTTTACAACAATGATTACATTTCAAAAGTACTTCATTGACTGTGAACTGTAGCATGAAATGTCTATTGAAAGACTTTTTTCTGAACTTTTTCTAAATAAATGTCAAAAATGATGTACGATAATACTGCATTTCAACTAGCTTAGAACCAGTGAAATTTTTAGAGCATCATTACCCTCTGGTTTTCTTTTTCCTGTTAGTTTACTTCCCTTTGCTCTCTTGAAGATAGATACCAGCTAAAGCTATGGGTCAGTCCTCTCCAGGGTTTCTACCAATACAGCTATTAATCAGATAGAAAAAGGTACAAGAGTGGCTCTGTTTTTGATTTCCTCTCTTTTTCAGCGAGGATGCTGTGTTATTTTGTGTCTTCAGACATCAGTATGGCTAATCTCAGAAACTGAATAAAGTGGGAACTGAAACAATGCCCTACCAATTCAGTCTGACACTGTGCACTGATGCTGTAATGTATCTTGTCTAGTTATTATTTCTACCAATTGTTGCTGATTATTGAACTAACTTACAGAACTAGCAAAAAGCATTCTTGAAGAGCTTATTGCATAGAACTTGCATAGAACTTGCATTATAATTATACATCTCACAGAAAATTGTAGAACTATATAATTCATTATCTTACTTTTCAAACCAATTGAACAAATACATGCCTTTGATTCAAAATACCATTTTCATAAATTCTCTGATAGTAACTCAACATTTCAAGCAATATCAGCACTTTTGATGTGGTCTGAGGTATACGATTCTTAATGTTAAATAGAATACCTACATCACACCAGCAAGTAATGCATTTCATTTCCCCAAACGGAGGAACTTCAGGATGCCATTTATTATTGTTCGTATATGTATGACGCCCAAATTTGCAGGGCCTGGGACCATCAGCCTGCATCATGTCTGTATGGTCAAAAGGGGTAATCTCTGTAACTGTGGTAAAAAAGCAAATTTCAGAAGAAAATTCAGGGTATCTATCCACAAAAATGTACAGTTTATTCAAGATGGGCAATGTATGTGGGTACTTTGGGGTACGTTTTATTATGTTGCTGATGTTGCCTGTCAATCATATTTGAGAAAATGTTCATTCAGTAACCATTAAACAGTTTTATTTGATTAATTTAAATCTCAGGAGCTAGGTACTTTAAAAATCTTTTATTGAAACAGTAACGACAGTTCAAAAGTAACTTATCAGCTACAAAACACTTTGAGATGTCCTGTGGTTGGAAAAAGTTGTACTTAAATGCAAGTCTTTTTCTAACTTACATAAAAGATGGTAGAAAATTAAATCTATACAAATTACTAACCTGGGCACTCTTTGCAGCAATCTGATGCATTCTTTCTAACAGGTTGGCTACACGGTAGATAAGGGCATTGAACCTTCTCACAGTGAACTTCCCCAGTAGCCCCCTATGAATGAAATATTAAAAAAATTATTAAATTAAACATAACCTTTATAATAATTGTCACATATATCAAAAACATTCACACATAATTTGAATTATTTTGCTGCTTTTTTACTAAAATTATGACTCTCAGAGTCGACACACTTGTTCATTTCATTTCTAATTAATATATTCAAATAACTGCTTACCACAAGTTACCTGGAATAGTCCAATTTTATTTTCTAAAAAATTAAAATACATTGCTACTCTTCAATACTCCCAAAGACATACACTTAATGGAGTACTGGGATATAATTCCCAGGGCTTCTGCATTTCCTTTAATTACTTCAGAATCCCAGGTTGTAGAGTAATAGCGTAATATAGCCTAAGGGTCCTGGTATGTGGTCTCCCCTTAGCTTAATTTATATAATTTTTTTTATCCATTACAATATTGCACATTGTACTTTCAAACATCTTCACGTTTCATTATATCACCAATATCCTGCACTTTAGTAGAACACTTGAACGCTCATGACAAATGTAAAAGGAGCTCCTGCCATACTTTCCTTGACATGATAGCAGCTGAGCAGGAGCAGCTCAGAAGAATGACCTCACCATTATGTTCACCAGGTAGATGTTGCTGAAGTCAGAATAATTGGTAAGGTCATTCACTTGCTCTTTCAAAATATTGTAAAGATAGAATTCTCTTTTTTATCGGACAAATCCTCATCTGGTTTATAAAAGCTTGTAAGAGTCAAAAGAGGGCCCCCTACCTTACAAGTGCACACTGCACATTTCACATATCCAAAGGGTGGTACAAATGGATGCCAGGTAGTCCCAGCAGGATGCCATTTCTTGTCCCCATCAAAATAGCAACCTGAAATATAATGAGTTGGATAGTTTATCAGAAGAACTGAAGCTTTATTTGGTCTCTCTTGGATCACTGCAAAACTACAGTAATGGCTTTTACTATTCCTTTTGCATAGCTCTTTAAAATAAAACTCCTAGAAGTGGTTGCTGAAACTTTCTAGAATTAATTTCAGAGTCTTCTCCCAATTTGCAAATGTATTTGTTTCGCCTTCTTGTAAAGTAATCCCAGGGTGATAAAGCATTGCTGTTTGAATGTAACGTCAGCTTTGCAACCTGTTCCCATCCCTGTGCTAATGTTTGGGTCATTGGGAAAATGTATGTGAATAACAAGAGTATTTTGCCATTGGAGACTGACTTGATTCTGCCCCAAGTGGGATCAAGAAGAAGAGAGGAGGCTGGCACCTGTACTGCACCTTTCTCTAAGGTGTAGTTTAGAGATTCATCATGTAGGAACTACAGCCTAACTTTGCCCATTTGCTACCAGTCCATGGCACCATCCTTTGGGACTCGCAAATGTTGACCTGTTTCACCACATATTTATTAATCAACAGATTAAAACATATGTTGGAAAAAATATTGACTGAAACAAAGCAAAAGATGAAGTAGGAAGAATTCTGCCCATTGCTTCATGGTGCCATGGAATTGTTTCAATGATGAGAACAGCATGTCCAGGACAGTCTTCCCACACTGATCCCAGATAAAAACTACTTAAGGAACTCTTCCTACTGGCATGAGGGGAGACTTCTCAGTGAAACTGACGGCCACCCTGCAGGCTCCATATGGGCCACAGACAGCCCCCTAGTAGTAAAAGTTGCTGTTTGCAAATACTTCATTCCACCCATCCTAACCAATGAACATACCTTCATTGGGCCTTACCTAACAAGTCCCGGTGACTTTTATGTCCCTTATCTAGGTTCCAGGATTAGGCCAGGTACAATCCCAGAATGACCACTGCTCCTGCTAGAATAGAAGAGCAGCTAGCCCTTTGATTGGTTGGCTGCTCTAGGAGCTGAAAGAATAGGAGCCCGAGTGCCAAGTAGTTAATTGGCTAGGGTCACAGAATAGGATCAGAGCTTCTGAAATAGTGAGGCTGGTTTGACCTCGGCTGTCGGCATGCTGTCTCCCTCACCATCACCAATGAAATCCTGCCCAGTGAATGCTTCATGATAATCACTTGGTAGTGTCACTAGATTATAAAGCAGCCACAGTGATTGGATGATAGCAAACATGAGTATTCAAGAATGTTGGGAGATAGTAAAATAAGGACCTACAGGCCCTTAGCCTGATATCAGTCATTAGAGAAATGATAAAAGTTATTATTAAGGAGGTGATGATATGGATAACAGGTTAAATGAAGGAGAGGCAGTGAATGGAGTTTATCTGGATTTTCAAAAGATATTCAGTACTACATAAATGTTATTACACAAGATAAGGACTCATGGAGTTTGAGTAATTTATTGCATTGGATGGAGGACTGGCTAATTGTCAGAAAGCAAACACTAGAAAGAAATAGAGATAGTAGGAACTGCAGATGCTGGAGAATCCGAGACAACAAGGTGCAGGGCTGGATGAACACAGCAGGCCAAGCAGCATCATAGGAGCAGAAAGGCTGACGTTTCGTGCCTAGACCCTTCATCAGAAAAGGGGGAGGGGAAGGGGGTTCTGAAATAAATAGGGAGAGAGTGGGAGGCGGATAGAAGAGGGATAGAGGAGAGGATAGGTGGAGAGGAAACAAACAGGTTGAAGAGGTGGGGATGGAGCCAGTAAAGGTGTGTAGGTGGGGAGTTAGGGAGGGGATAGGTCAGTCCAGGGAGGACGGACAGGTCAAGGGGGCGGGATGAGGTTAGTAGGTAGGAGATGGGGGTGCGGCTTGAGGTGGGAGGAGGGGATAGGTGGGAGGAAGAACAGGTTAGGGAGGCGGGGACGAGCTGGGCTGGTTTTGGGATGCGGTAGGGGGAGGGGAGATTTTGAAGCTTGTGAAATCCACATTGATACCATTGGGCTGCAGGGTTCCCAAGCGGAATATGAGTTGCTGTTCCTGCAACCTTCGGGTGACATCGTTGTGGCACTGCAGGAGGCCCAGGATGGACATGTCGTCTGAGGAATGGGAGGGGGAGTTGAAATGGTTCGCGACTGGGAGGTGCAGTTGTTTATTGCGAACCGAGCGTAGGTGTTCTGCAAAGCGGTCCCCGAGCCTCCGCTTGGTTTCCCCGATGTAGAGGAGGCCACACCGGGTACAGCGGATGCAGTATACCACATTGGCAGATGTGCAGGTGAACATCTGCTTGATGTGGAAAGTCTTCTTGGGGCCTGGGATGGGGGTGAGGGAGGAGGTATGGGGGCAGGTGTAGCACTTCCTGCGGTTGCAGGGAAAAGTGCCAGGTGTGGTGGGGCTGGAGGGGAGTGTGGAGCGGACAAGGGAGTCACGGAGAGAGTGGTCCCTCCTGAAAGCAGATAAGGGTGGGGAGGGAAAGATGTCTTTGGTGGTGGGGTCGGATTGCAGATGGCGTAAGTGTCGGAGGATGATGCGTTGGATCCGGAGGTTGGTGGGGTGGTACGTGAGGATGAGGGGTATTCTTTTTTGGTTCTTATTGCGTGGACGGGGTGTGAGGGATGAGTTGCGGGAGATGTGGGAGAAAGAAATAAGCAGTTTCAAGCTGGCAAGCTGTAACTAGTGAATTGCCAACAACCTCTGTTATTCACAACCTATATGAATGACTTGGATGCAAATGCTGAGTAATATATTTAAGATTGCTGAGAACATAAACTAGGTTGGATTGCAAAATGGGCAGAGGACACAAGGAGGCTGTAAAATGATATGAACAGGGTTCACTGAGTAGGCAAAGAATTGACAGTCAGCACATAATATAGAGAAATATGAGTTAATTCACTCTGATGGAAGAGTGGGAAAGCAAAATTTTGTTTTAAATAGTGAGGAAATTAAATTCTAATGTTTGGAGAGATTTGGGTGTTAACACATACGTAACACAAGTTAGAATGCAGGAATGACAAACAATTAGGAAGGGGAAGAGTTGTCCTTTGTTCCAAGGGGATAGAGTACCAGAGTAAGGAAAACTTGGTAGAATTATACAGGGCTTTAGTGAGACCATATCTGGGGCACTGTGTACAGTTTTGGTTTCCTTAGCTAAGGAGTTATACTTGTATTGACGTTCAATAAAAGTTCACTAGATTGATTCCTGCAATGCAAAGGTTGTTTTGTGATAATTGAATGAGTTGATTGGGCCTATAGTCTTTAGAGTATAAAAGAATGGGAGGTGATTTAATTAAAATTTATAAGATTCTGAGGAGGGACCTTGAAAGGATAGGACACTGAGAAGTTGTTTTCCATAGTGGAGAGTCTAGATCATGGGAGCATAATTTTAGGATACAGATCATCATGTAAGACTGAAGAAGGAGCGAGGCTCTGAAAGCTTGCGTTTTCAAATAAACCTGTTGCACTATAAACTGGTGTCATGAGATTTCTGACATTTAAGACTAAGACGAGGAAAAGGTTTGTCATTCAGTAGGTGGTATAGTTTTGGAATTTTCCACCACAGAGGACTGGGAATGTTCACTGAGTATACCCAAAGCTAAGGCAATTTGATTTTTGGACTCTAAGGGAATCAAAGGACATGGAGACAGAGGGGAATAATGGAATTGAAGTTAAAAAAAAGCTGTGATTTTATAGAATATCAGAGTAGCCCTGAGAAGCTGCATGATCCTACTCCTAATTCTAGTATTCTTATTTTTTTAAAATAGATAATTCCACTAGTCCACTGTCCAAGAGCCCTATACCTTTCATTGCTTCAAACATTAATCCCCCATATTACTCTCAATTACTTTGCAGTTTTCTGCCGTTGCCTCAATAAATATTAATTGTTTACTTAACACCAGCATATCCTTGATTGAAAATTAATACATTCATTTTATAATCAAATTATATTGGCAGTTTACCTTCAACCTGCTCAACTTCTGTTTTCTTTAAATCTTTTGTTTCTGCTTTATCTGTCAGGATGATATTAAACAATATCAAAACCAAATAAATATCAGTCTTATTACTATAGTCTAATAAAAACAATTTGGGGAGCTATGAAATGAATTATATTCCCTGGTTGTCATATCATTTTGTGTTAATGTAGATTCCATCTTTATTCCCCAATGAGAGTTCACTGAGTCAGCATATTATGTGGCAGCACACATCGCAATTGAACTTTGAATACTAAAATCTCAATAGTGTGCAACATAAAGTACTTAATTAAGTTGTAATATGTAGATATGCAAAGTAATTACACTAAATCATGATTTCAAATCTATGAATACCATCTAAATAAAAACCAAAAGAACTGTGGATGCTGTAAATCAGGGGAAAAGAAAACAGAATTTGCTGGAAAAGCTCAGCAGGTCTGGCAGCATCTGTGAAGAAAAAATCAGAGTTAACGTTTCAGGTCCGGTGCCCCTTCCTCAGAACTACCATTTGAACACCACTATTTGTTTGACAAACCACTCCTTTCACTGACTTTCTATTTGATGTTACAAGTCACATGACTGCTTCGCTGCAAGTACACAAACTCTTCTACTGGACTTAAATATGCTCCAATTTTTAGTAAGATTATACAGCCTAAAAATATAATGCTGGCAGACACAGTTTCTGAAATACTTGCATTCTAATTTAGTAGAAGGACTAAATAATCGATTGCAGGAGAAACTCATGGAATAACTAATGAAAAAATCCAAAATGTAATTGATTGTGGGGTATTGATTAATATTTAAATAAATAGATAAATTACAAGAGTCCAGCTATTTCTTTTTCTCTGTTGTACTCAGCATTAACAGTTACTGTTATCATGCCTAGCACATCACTTCCAACCAGTTTAAATTATACCTTTGCAAACAGGACAGCATTTATCTTCAACATGAATGATTTCTGAACAGTTCAGAGGAACACATATGATAGGGTCACATATTACAGTCCTTTTCTGAAATAGAAACAAAATGCGCACAAGTTGAATGAATTGGGTTCGGCTAAAATGAATCAAAATAAATCAAAACTAATTCTTTGCGTCACTCAAGCTGACTTTCATTATGTCACCTGGCAACTACAGATGGAGCACTTCCGGTCATAGTTTGGTGTCCATTGAGACCCATGTGCTCGCTGTTGCCCTTCAAAAAAACATGAATTTGGATCCTTCTTCAACTCCTCTGGATCAGGTTTAATTTCCTGAAAGAGGCTTTCTTCATAATCAGTTTCTTTAGGTATAACAAATCCTTTCGATTCACACTCGTTTTGAATCAGCACCTGAAGAGAATGATAGTTTCAATAAGACCAACAATAATTTTGAATTTTGAACCCTGTCAGTAGAAGATACACAATATATATCATGATTGAAATGGGCTTATTCAATCACTTGGAAAAACTAACTGGCTTTATCCAGCTGATTGCTTTATTTAAATGTAGATTTTCATGGTGAGATATTTCAGTGATCGTATTACGGAACAGAGCCTTTGTAAAATATATCTACATTACCTTATTATTTATTATGCATAAATGAGTGACTTTTGCAAAAGTCATTAACCAGGATTCAACTGAATTACTGAAAATTGTGCTAAAATTTGAGGAAGAGTCAACAACTTGTTAAACATAGTGGATACTTCTTTAAGCTGATGTTTCTTTAATCTGCCATAGCAATGTTCTTCTATACATTGTTCACACTTTCAAGAATAAAGGCAATTTTTTTACGTACCGGGCCTCGTATTTCTCCTTTGGGATTAAGCTTCGTACTAACTTGTATAAATGCAGTTCCTCTGTTAAGATGTCTTAGAAGCTCAGTGCTGATATCCTTTAAGATTCCTTGAGCCTAAATAACCATAACAAAGTAAATTCATTAGGTCAATTGAGAAAAATATCAGCATGTCAAAGCATGACCAATGATTAGTTGTGGTACTTTGAAATTTAAAACTATCACAAAATAATTATTCCAAACCCTAGATTGATGTAAACGTGATTTTGCAGAAAGGAAACGTGAAAAACAATTGCCCCATTTAGGAGTCAAACATGTGTCATTTGAACATGATCACATAAAAGTAAGAGCTGTGGTCATTAAAATGAGGTGTGAGATGGAGTAAATATGGTCTTTTAGGAAAGGTTGAATCAATCGGGTTTATGTTGTCACTGAGAGTTAGTAAAACATCTGCTAGACTACTTTGATTGCCAGATCAACACTGTGGGCTACAAAAAAATTCCCATCTGTTGATATAAGGTGAGTAGAGTCTTTTGCTGACATTTTCCAGGGGGTATTATGTCACTATGAATACTTGGCTGAATTTAAAAATCTACAATTATCTTTGCACAGGGCTCTGGGTTTAATGGATAGTTTAAGGATCAATCTCTTTGTGAGTTTGGAATTTGTTTTTATAGGGATTGAGCACAATAGCTTTGAATGGGTTTCATGAAGTTAAGATATTTTCACCACCAAGTGTGTATGAATAGTAGCTGTATTAGTTTATTTGGTTCATCTCTACATGGCTCTTGAAGTCTGTCCACAATAGGTACTGAGTGAGTGGCAAAGGAGGTGGCACAGGAGCATGCTGGATCATTGGAGAGGAACATTCCTTGGCATGGAGAGGCTAAGAGAGATGGCTTAGGATGTGAAGGGGTATGAAGGGTGAGAGGTAGAAGGCCTAACAGCTTTTAAAACAACTGGGGAAAAAACCCCATAAAATGAAGGCAGGCCTTGTAACCAACTTGCCTGCCCAATGAGCTCCCTAGGATCTGCTTCTAGGGTTGTGTAGCTGACTTGATCCTATCCATACCACCTGAGAATGAAAATTTTGTCTATTGGAGCTCTTTAAACCAAGATTGGATGGCCAGTTTGGGAAATTTTTTGATGGACCTACCCATCTAAGTGGCAAAAATCTAGGCCATTCTGTTTGCAGAGGCTAAAGTATATATGTAGATGATCAGGACCAAAGGCCCAGTCACTTTATAACAGAATTAGAATTATAGTTAGTGTCATAAGACAAATGAGAAACACATTCATTTACTATTGAAATAGAACAGTTTCTGCTTTCTCATTCATATTTCTTTTATCCTCTTCTGAAGCTGTTCACCTTTGGCTTGGTGTGATCCTTCAAGAACCTAAAGATGTTCTGATCTTTGTTTACTAATGTGAGAATCTTTATAAAGAGTCTTGGCAAGTGTTTCGTGGCTCGAATCCGTTCTCAACAGATATCTACAACTGATTTTTCTTGCAGCGTGCTGGATCTAGATTTGGAACTTCAGCAAATTTGGTTCTTTTATGGATGCTCAGTCAATATTAACACCTGAACCACTGCCCAAACTGAGATCAGCAAAATTAGAACTGATCAAGAATCAAAAGAATAATTTAAGATATTAATTGCACACTGTTACAGTTGTTGAATAACTTTCTGAACCTCATGAGAGTTCAGCCTCTAGTCAAATCTCCTCTCTCCCAATTACATGGTTACATGGTCTTTCGTTCAAAAATTAAAATACTATTTAAACAGTACTGTACCTCTGATCCATAAAAGCCTTTAAGGAGGCGTTTGTGCTCCCCACTGTTATCATCCATTTCCCCAATCTCAGCAAATCCATGGAGATGTGCATTAATTGTAATATCTTCAGCTTTGCTGAGCCCTGCCACAACTATCTCATAATGCAGGTGGCAATGTTCATCCAAGGATACCCACGCATGTCCTGCCGAGCCAGCCTTTATAGGGGGCACCACAAATTGTCCAGCCAGAGGAACTGGAAGCTCTGCAAAGGACAGATTCCTTATATTAGTATTTCATGTTGAGTGTAATCACCAACACATTGAACTTTGCAGTTTCTATTGTACAGCCTAGGACCTGTCACCAGAACTAAAATCAGGGCATACAATCAGTAAGCACAAAAAATAAAAGAGACTAAATTAAGAAACACAAAATGCCAAAAGGTTTACAACAATGGTTCCTGTAATGAGGTAACTTCAGTTACATGATTTGATTGGAGAAACTGGGGTTGTTCTCCTTAGAGAAGACAAAAAAAGAGGATATTTAATAGGGGTGTTCAAAATGTTGAAGGGTCCAGACAGAGAAGATAGGGAGAAACTGTTCCCATTAGCAGAAGGGCCAGGAATCGGAAGACATTGACTTAAAAGTGATTGGCAAAAAAAACCCCAAAAATAACAAGAGGGAATAGATTTTTATGCAAAGGGTGCTTAGAATCAGGAATACAATGTTTGAGACATTCAATGTTAGCTTTTAAAATGGAATAGGATAAGCATTTGAATTGAGAAAGCCTAAAGGGCAAAGGAAACCAGCAGGAGACTGAGGTTAGCTATGTTGCTCTTGCAGAGAGCTAGCCAAGCTCAATGGGCCGCAGGACTTTCTTCTGTGCTATAATGATGCCTCATTCTATAAAAACAGTACAGATTTTGTGGTATCTGAAAGAAAAGTACAGTAATGTTATGATTTGTGACCTCAATCAAGACTGATTGCTTAAGAGAACCCATTACAGGCTCATTAAGAGACTTCCATAACTATATCAATTCTGATTAAGCCTTTTGTCTGAACACACAAATCTGCTTTCTTTAAGAGTTAACTGTGCACTATGCAAGACAGTAAATTTTAACAAAAAGTCAATATATTCAACAAGTTGCTGAAACCTACCATCTGGTTCGTGGCTGTGAAATAGTAGCTCTGAAACATCCTTACTAACAAGAATTCATCTAGCCCATTTTTTAAAATGTCATGTTGCTCTATTTCACCTCTCCCTGCTGATAATCTATTCCGTGTTTCTATCATCTTCCATTGAAAATGTTTTGCCGAAATCCTTTGTTTCCTTCTGACACCCTCAACTTTGAGCTGTACCACAAAATGGTAATTTTCCTGAATTTAATTCTTCCTTAACGTGGAAAAATTTAAAGTTTCAAAGGAGTCTTCTTGTTCTTCTCAAGAAAATTAAGTCTTAAGGCGGATAATCTTTTCTCATAACTTAACCCTAAATTTAGGAACACAACTTGTAGGTCTTTGCTAGAATAAAGTAATATAATAATTTTAAGTTCTTTGCGTAATGCAGAAACAAAAACTGAACATTGTACTCCAGGTGCCTTCTCACCAAAAGCAAATATAACTGCAAAATAATCTCTTTTGACTTCCTAATTCCATAACTGAATGGTTTATTTAATTACCAGATTGTCTCTGAACTGCTGATGGTCAAATGATTTGGGATTTTTTTTTGCTAAAAAGACTAGACAAATACATGTTACTGTTTTTGTTTTAATGTTCCATTCACCAAAGTACTAAGTTCCCTTTCTTGATCTGTTATTTAAAACATATTACCATTTAATTACAAAACAGAAATTACTGGAGAAAGAGCTCTGATGAAGAGTCACCAGACTCAAAACGTTAACTCTGTTTTCTCCCAACAGGTGCTGTCAGAGCTGTTGAATTTCTCCAGCAATTTCTGTTCTTGTTTCAGAATTCCAGTATCCCCAGATTTTTGTTCTATTTTATCATTTAATATGTTGTCAACATTCTTACTTGAGTCATAGAATCATAAAGTCATACAGCATGGAAACAGACCTTTCAATCCAACTGTCTATGATAACCAGACATCCCAGTCTGACCTACTCCCATTTACCAGCATTTGGCCTATATCTGCCTAAATCCTTTCTATTCATGTAGTCATCCAGATGCCTTTTAAATGTTGTAATTGTACCCACCTCCACCACTTCCTCTGGCTGCTCTTTCCATACATGCACCACCCTCTGCGTGATAAATTTACCTCTCCGATCTCTTTTAAATCTTTCCCCTCTCACCTTAAACCTATGCACTCCAGTTTCAGACTCCCCCACCCTTGGGAAAAGACCTTGGCTATACACCCTATCCATGCCCCACATGATTTTATAAACTTCTATAGGGTCATCCCTCTGCCTCCGACGCTCTGGGAAAAAAGCCACAGTCTATTCAGCCTCTCTCCATAACGCAAACCCTCCAGTCCCAGTCACATCCTTGTAAATCTTTCTGCGCCCTCTCAAGTTTAACGACATCCTTCCTATAGAAGGGCAACCAGAATTGATTGTGGTATTCTAAAAGTTTTCTCATCAATATCCTGTACTTCTTTTACTCAAAGTCATTATAGTGCACTTTCTTGTGTTAAATGCTTCTGCCACCTTCTGCCCATTTACCAGCCTGCAAAGATCTTTTTGGACTATTGCATATTAGCTATTAGCATTGACACCTGTAGACTTCCACAACCATCCATTTCCACGTTTTTCAATAAAAGCTTTAAACAGCAAGAACAGTGACACAGATTTGTGGGACTCCAGTGAAAGCTGGTTAGTACTTTGATATCCCTGTATGCACCATCTTCCATTTGTTGGCTAACTTTTGCCCACTCTCAGTGCACCACAATGCTTAACCATTTTTCATAAAATGAATCAGAGTGTGTCATGTGGGATTATATAAAATGTCTTTACAGAATCCAAATTGATCATAATGATAAAAATAATAATGTCTTCTATTCAGCAGAATTGTAACTTTCTCATTAGAAATCCAGTGAATTAGTTAAGAGCGGTTTACCCTTTCTGAAAGGATGCTAACCAGCTTCTGCACTTCGATATGATGCCTTATCAAAGCTTTGAATATTATTTCCCGTAATCAAGAAAAGGCTCTCTCATTCGAGGTTACAATTTTTGCTATTTTTGTTAAGAAGACATGAATCAAATGCAGAAGATACCTGATTATAGCATTTTCAGTTTTAAAAAAATCTGATATCACAGGATTCCTGTAATAAATATATCTTTGTATAAAATTTCTCACTGATTATATTATTTGTTTTGAATTCATGGCAGCTACGAAGTGGCCACCTAGTTGTCCGCTCTCAACTGAACAGCTGGAGATGTTTATAAGATAAGATTTCATTTTCTTTACCATGGTATCTTGCTTGAAGACCACTGTAGAGTAAAGAATTGATTTGCCCTCTTAACTCCCCCTCTTCGTATTCCTTTGTCGCAATATTGATAAAAAGTTCATTCTGTAACAGCATATGTATGTCTCTAGCATTCAGCCTATTGCTAACTCCAGTTGCCTAAAATCACAAAAGAGGAAGTTAGAATTTAAAGCACCAATAATTGTTAATCAATGGCTGCGCACTCTTTTCAAAAGTACTTACAAAACTATTCCTGTAGTCAGAAGTTATGTCATGCAAAATATTGCGTTTGTTCTTGCGCCGCGGTTTAGTTTCAATTGTGAGTCCTATGACTTCACTGGTTGTACCAGCTACTTGTACCTATCGTAGAACAACAACTTGCCATGATTATTTCCTGTAATGCTTTTACTTGGTTATGTTCAAATATGTAGAAACATCTTCAAGTAAATTTCAAAGAATAAATAAAGTGAATGCTAATGATCTTTCTATAAATAACACAGGAAATACATTACAAATTAAAGGGAGAATCCACGTCATTAGAAAACTCTTTTTTCAGTTTTTTAAATGCTGCTTCTTAGACAATAAAAAGGAACAAAATGCAGATTTTTGTTTTTACCTGGAATTGTAGAGTACCATTATCATGCAAAGTAAATTTTGCTGAGCCAACAGCACCAGTTTTGGTTGGTGTAAGAGCATTTCCACCTGATAGTACGCTCTGAATAGCTAGTGGAAGGAATTAAAATCAGTTTTTTTTATTTAAATCAGACTGAGTATATTCAAAGATTGATGTACAACATATACAGAAGAGTACTACAGTAGAAGATTGTTTAAAAGCATTGAATTGATTTGAATCATGCAAGAATTTTTAAATTAATTGGGGCTAAGCTTCTGTGACAGCAAGTTGTTTTTCCTGTTCATTGTTCTTCTGTAAACCTCCATCCATTTCTTAAAGTTTGGTTTTGATGGAGAGATCCATCCTGCAGTATGGCCAAAAAAATTCTCCAGACTTTCTCGCGTGGAAGGAGTGAGATTTTGAAAAATAATCAAAGTTAGGATTCATTTTTGCACTGATTGCCAGTTTGTTTGTTTACAAACAAGAATTACTATATTTAAATACTGATTTACTATTACAAAATACATTAGAATATGAAAAACACTATATAAACACAAGCAAAAAAAAAGAAAGAATTGTGGATGCTGGAAATCAGAAACACAAACAGAAATTACTGGAAAAACTCACCAGGTCTGGCAGCATCTATGGAGAGAAATCAGAGTTAATGTTTTAGATCCAGTGATTCTTCTTCAGAAGACTATACCCTTCTGAAGAAAGGTCACTGAACCCAAAAAGTTAACTCGGATATAAATGCTAGCCCTTTCCTCGTGGTGGGCACACAGTCTCTTGTCTTAACTTCTTCAAGGACATACTTACATTAAAGAATGGTAAAACTGTTACTTTATTTTGGGATTTCTGATAGGACACCCAATAATGCCAGCCTGTGGGACAGACACATCAGGAGTTGTATTCTCTAATATTTTCCAAAGCGCAATATCAAAGCAACTAATGATAACAGTGAAAACCTAGAGTCAGGACCCAAGCTAGTTCCAATGGAAAGTTGTGAAAGTCTCTCTCCACTGCAGGATAGTCACATATTAAATTGAAAAAACTGAAACTCTGAAGAGTGAATAGAAGACGGTGACGAGAATTGTGTGAAATGGTGCTGATCTTCATTATATGGATACATTCCAAGACATTCTGTTACTTACTCAGGAAAGGTTCAGACTGCGAGTTTTGATTGTGACTTATTAATTGGATTAGTTCAGTCGACTAGGTACATTATTTGGGATGGATAGAGATGACAGAATGATATTTCTTGTCCAATAAAACCATAGGCAATAAATTAGATTACGTGTCAAGAATCATTTCTATATCTAGTGCCCTGAAACAAACTTCAGTGAATATGGTAAATATGGTGAGCAATTGTTACAATTCTGTCTCCAACTTTATAAGACATTATAAATTATATATCATTTATAATAAGTAACTATTATTATACAGTTATAAAATGATATAACATGATATCACATCTGTAATATAAATAGTGTCTAAGGGCAAGGGGAATTCTGTGCTTGGTTGCTGTAACTTTGACCGGAGACCCTCAGCAAATCTGGCAAAACTATGCAACTGGCCTTTGTACAATTTTAGCAGGACTTCCAAAACCTTTCCTTTCAAGTTACTGTAGATTTCAGTGGGTCACCTACTGCAGAATTTCAACTATTAAGTAGTTTCCATATAACTAGATTTTCCACTTACTATCACATGTTTTCTTGCCTGTGATGAATCCTGAAATACGATCTGGATTTCTGCCCTCAGTCTCTAGGGCAATTTCTAGCTGGCCACGTGAAAGCAAGAACATCTCTTTGTCACTGAGATCAGTCAGCACTTCAGCAAAATCAGAGTCCTGGATGAAAGGAGAAAGATATTTTTCTGAATTTTGTATAAAATAATAACGTTATTATGGTTAAGGTCTTGCAATAAAAATGGAGCTTTTTGAAAGCATTGATAGCAACAGACTTAAGTATGTATCAAGTAAACATTCATACCAAAAATGATCTCATATTTATTACCAAAGTTAGTTCAATACAGCACCAGGACCAGGTTGAATCTAAGGATAGATTTTTGTGTAACAGAATTAGAGTTTTGATTCTCACTGTAAATCAGTGATGTGTCTGATGGACGTGCGAGTACAATGAAAAGCATTGTGTATGTATTACTGCTCACGTAATAAGGCTATAAGATATAGGAACAGAATTAGGCCATTTAACATTGCATCTTCATCACTATTCAATCGTGGCTGATATGTTTCTTCACCCCATTCTCCTGACTTCTCTCTGTAACCTTTGGTTTCCTTACTAATCAAGAACCTATCTGTCTCTGTCTTACTCAATGACTTGCCCTTCACAGCCCTCTGTGGCAATGAGTTCCACAGTTTTAACTAGCCTTTAACTGAAAACAGTCCTCCTCTTCTCAGTTCTAAAGTGTTGTCCCTTCACTGTAAGGCTGTGTCCTCAGGTCATAGTCTCTCCTACTAGTGGAAACATATTCTCCACATCCACTCTATCTAGCCTGTCAGTATTCTGTAAGTTTTAATCAGATCACCGTGCACCCACCCCCCCACCCCCATCCTTCTAAACTCCATCAAGTACAGACCCTGAGTCCTCAACCATCCCCTCATATAATAAGCCCTTCATCCGTGGGATCATTCTTGTAGCCCCTCCAAGGCCTGCACGTCCTTCCTTAGATTATGGGGCCTAAAACTGCTTGCAATATTCCGAATGCAATCTGACCAGAGTCTTATGCAGCCTCAACAGTACATCCCTGTTCTTGTACTCTCGATCTCTCAAAATTAATGCTAATATTGCATTTGCCTCCCAAACTGCCAACTGAACCTGAAAGTTTACCTTAAGAAAATCCTAAATTAGGACTCCAAGGTCCCTTTGTACTTCAGATCTCCAAAGCCTTTCCTTGTTTAGAATATAGTCTACACCTCTATTCTTCCTACCAAATGTATAACCTCACATTGTCTCACATTGTATTCAATCTGCCCCTTCTTTGCCCACTCTCCTACCATGTCCATGTCCTTCTGCAGTCTCCTCACTTCCTCAACACTACCTGTCCCTCCACCGACCTTTCTGTCATCTGCAAACTTAGCAACAATGCCTGCAGTTCCTTTATCCAGATCGTTAATGTATAAAATGAATAGTTGTGGTCCTAACACAGACTCCTGTAGAACCCCACTAGTCATCACTGCCATCCTGAAAAAGATGCCTTATTCCAATTCTCTGCCTTCTGTCAGGCAGCCAATCCACTATCCATGCCAGTGAGTTGCCTCTAATACAATGGGCTCTTATCTTATTTAACAGCCTCCTGTGCAGCACCTTGTCAAAGGCCTTCTGGAAATTGGATAATGGATTCAGAATTTCCAGGCTATAATTCCCACACTTCAGCCTAAACCTGGCATGTTTTGTTTCAAACATACACTGTGAATATTTGGCAAAGTCTTACACGGGTTGTTATGTTGGCTCTGACTTCTCTCAGTGGTTGGTTTCCGTAAAGCAGCTGCACTCGCACGGGCACCATGCTATGATCTGCGAGGGATCAACAGAACCGTGAGCAAACAATGTTCACAAGGTTATGTGGCGATAAAGTGGGCGCTTGCAGTTCGCTTTATCAATTAGTCAAAGTCACAACATGGAAAAGTAGTAAATCAGACATAGCTACCAAAACCTAAACATGATTGTGCAAAATCTCAATTTGTACAGCAAAACATATTGACAGATATCTTCTGTATTTCATACAATTTTGGATGCTTTGATGTAGGATTATATCATGATGGGAAGTTATAAAGCTCCTGCCAATATTTTGAGCTAAAACTTGAATTCAATATATCACCCAAAATTTAGGTAAATGCTTTTACCTTTTGTACTCCTCCTCAACAAACCCTCAAACATGATGATGAAGTGTAAGTTATTCTCAATGTCACTGAGTGTCAGCATGGCAATCCCACCTGAGTGATCGAGGTTCGTTGAAGTCAGAACAGAGCTAAATGTTTCTGAGGAAATAGAATCTGGTTCAGTACATCAAGTTCCACAATTCTGCCCATCGTTCAATTAACTAGGATGAAAAAGGTTTTTTTTTGGCTTTTGTTTGAGTGTTACAACCTACCAGCGAAAAGTGCTCTGTGTTTGACAATCTTGCCTTGGATGCTAACATCCGATTGGAGTTGTGTCATCAGTGCAACACGGAGCTGATCAGATTTGAGGAGCCTGATGTAAGGTTTATGCACGTTCCTCCACATGCCACAGATCTACAAACACAGCCAGATGCATGAATCAGAGCATAAACATTAGAACATCTATTTGGTCATGATGAACACTGACATGTAGCTTACCAGATTGTTTTGTGGAGAAGATGTCTTGTGGACAGGATGTTCAAATAAAACAATACCATCACGATCCCGAAAGCTAACCCTGATAGGACGGCTGAGTCTAATGAACAGAGAATGGGTAATTTTTTGATTACTCAGATAGATTTCTTTAATGACCACTTTTCTATTTATTAGTTAATAGCAGACCATATTGACCTGGTTCCCTTAATTCTTATTATTTTCCTTTTGGTCTGAAACAGTGAGCCAATCCTTTAGAAATTAAAATTTGTATCCATCAATAGTGCCAGGTGCGTAACTTTTAGTCCTTCTTGGTGGATATGTATTAATAACACATTGTAATCTTCCAAGTTGGTTCAATACATGGGTTAATGCTAATAAAATTACCAGATACATACTGGTGGAACATTTGTAGGATGGGAATGTGCTGAAGTCCTTATTGAGAGGTTAGTTTTATTAAATAGAAATATAAAATGTACACATTATAGCACAATTCAAATAACCTCAGTACCAAGTTTGCATAGTGGCTAATTTATGTTCTGTCTGCTTCATCAGTTTATACTAAGATAAAATTAGAACAAATACAAAATCTGTGCATGTAGAGCTGTGACAATTTCACAGTTCTCACTACACTATTTTCTTTGTGGACCTTGCTCTGCACCCTGTGGATCATTGTCTGTTTAAATACGCTGAAAGCTCTGACAGCGGGCAGCCAGAAAAATTAGAATCAAACAATGTTTGCAACTGGTGCTACTTCACATCCAAAGGAAGCAAACAATGAGGTTTTGATAGAACAAAAAGGAAAGGTTGATTTCCTTTAATAGGGTAGTGATAATTAATCTATTAAAACATAATGAAGAAATTGAGACTAGTGGTTAAGAGACATTTCTTTAACCTGAGATTTAATTGAAAATGGAATGTTTTGACCGAGGTATCAGTATCTTTTAAGTGAAAATTGGACAAATAATTTGAAGAGTTTAAAATACAGGGCTATGAGCATTAGGCAGAGCATTAAGATTAGTTTTGGATCAGTCAACATAGAGCCAGCATGGGCACGATGGAGAGATTGACTTCCTCCTGTCTGTAAATCACCATGGTTCTCAGATAGGGACATTTGACTGTAGAGAATAACTCAAGTAATGGGATGCAAGACAATGCAGAATATAAAAATGAGAACCAAATTATTAAACTCAATTTGATAGCATGCAAGGAGAGAACAGAACTTGGCAAAAACAGGGATAATAGGCGTGTGTGAGTTAACACAAAGACAGCAGAAATCATGGAGGCCTAATTCAGCTGAAACATTTGTCTAAACTGGATTCGAGGATATTAATGAAGAAAACAGATAAATAGATCCTGATGGTGATGGAAAAATGGATTAGGGTCTTTTTCTCATTCATTCATAGGATGAGGGCATTGCTGGCTGGGCAAGCATTTACTGCTCATCCCAAAGGGCAGTTAAGAGTCAAGCACATTGCTTTTAGATCTGGAGTCACATGTAGTCCAGACCAGGTAAGGTTGGCAGATTCCTTTTCTAAAGGACACTTGTGAACCAAATGGATTTTCCCAATAATCGACAATGGATTCTTGGTCATCATTAGTCTCTTAAGTCCAGATTGTTATTGAATTCAAGTTCTACCATCTGCTATGGTGGGATTCAAATACAGATCCCCAGAATGCTACCTGGATCTCTGGACTAACAGTCCTGTGATGATACCACTAGGCCATCACCTCACCTAAGTGATAGGGCAGGATGAAAAGGCAGGGGCATAAGCAAGCACTGTTCTCGAAGTGAATGAATGTTTAGTCACAAACTGGGCATGGGATAAGAAGCTATGTTCTCGTCATTTGACTCAACAAGAAATTGATGTCAAACAAGCAATCAAAAAAGGATAGTGATAGTCTTAGTATCAGTGGCAAGAAGACTGGGATGGAGTTGAATTTCATTGGCACACATTGAAACTGAGCTTATACTCAGGATGGTGTCACTGTGGAGTGAGTGAATAATTAAAACAGGTGAAGAACGAATCCTTGCATCATGGAAAAAGTAGCTGGATGGGCACAGAAAGATAAACAATATGAGTGAGATTTCATGACTACAAGTAGACTGACCAGAGTAAGGCTGTAAAAGGAAATTGACATAACTACTATCCTAATCTGATTTTATAAGATTGACAACACTTCTGCAAAATCTGGTTGATTTGGCTCCATAGGGAACTTATTAAAGACTTTTGAAACTAATTTCGCAGAAAACACTTATAGCCAGAACAGAAAGAAACTTTTAACATCAAAAAGTTTTAACAGTACTTTGCATGAGGGGGAATGAAAAGAACAAAGGGGAGCTGAAGAATTTGGGTTGTGGTATTGAGTGGAGAGGTAAGCAAAAAAATCATTTTTAAAAAATAAGTTTTGAGAAGGTATGTTAAAATAGTAGACAGGGGAAATTGATTTATGGAGCAATTCCAAAGACAGTTAAAGACACAGTGTTCAGTGCTAGGATGAAGGACAGATGGACAAAAAGGTAAAGCAGGGGGGCTGGAGGGTGTGAAAGGGAAGGTAATATAGTTCAAATAGGGAAGGGTGAGGATTTTAATTTTCAGACTTTGGGATGGAATGTCAATGAGACTTAGAGCAATGAGTAAATGGAAAGCAGTACAGAACATGGGCAAGTAAGTGTCAAAATTTGCAGAAAATGGGAGGCTGATAAGAGAGACATTGAAGAAATTGAGTCTAGGCGTGACAAATTCATAAATAAGATATTTTTGTGTTAGTGGATCTGCTCCAGAGGTGTGTCATAACTTTTCCAAACAGGTTGACTGGAAAATATTTGCAAACCAAATTGATGCAACCTGTTCTCGGAATTCAACTCTTTATCACAACTGTGGTTATACTTCAAATGGTATTTAAATGACTCTAAAGCATTTTGGGACAACCTAAGGTTATGAAAGTCTTCCTTTTTTTAAACTATTCATATATTCTGATCAAAACATGATATACCTTCTGCAAGTATGTTATAGCTTTCTTAATGTACAGTCCTGAGAACAGAATGCGCTACCTTACCTAAGATCTAATTAAGGTTCTATATAATGAAAGAATAACTTCACTTTTGTAATCTTTTCCCATTGAGATAACATTATGAACATACCAACATACAATTGAGGAGCAGAAAGAGAGCGCTCAGCCCCTTGAGCCTGCTCTGTCGTTCAATAAGATTATGGCTGATCTTATTACTCCGCATCCCCATCTACACCCACCACGTCCCCAACCCCACCTCCCACTCCCGACAAACTTTCCTTCTCTTGCTTACCAAGAATCTAACTACTTCTGCCTTAAAAATATTCCAAGAGTCTGCTTCCACCACCTTTTCAGAACAAGAGATCCAAAGACACCTAACTCCCAGTGAGAAAGTTTTGCTTAATGGTGACCTCCTATTTTTAAACAGTGACTCTTAGTTCATGATTCTCTGACAAGAGGAAAATCTTTTCAATGTCTACCATGTCATGATGCCTACCATTGGATGTGTTTCAATCAACTCGGCTCTTATTTCTCTACCTCCAGAATTGCCTGTCCAACATTTCCTTACAAGACAACCCAGCTACTTCAAGTCAGGTAAAGTCTGCATTCCATGACATTCTATGTGCTTTTTAAACTGTTATTGTACATTAGCTGCTAGTGATTTGCGTAAAAAGATAGTTAAATTCTTGTGCTCGTACATAACACATATTAACACTGCATTAAGAAAATGTTTTGATTTGTCTTTCACAAATCCAAAATAGGAAACCTCTCATTTATCCACACTGAACTTCATCTGTCATATTTTTCCCTACTAACTTACTCTGTTGATGTTCATGCATAACTTTATGCAACCATTCAAATCTCTTACTCTGCTGTCTAATTCAGTGGCATCTGAAAACTTGGATTAGCAACACTAGTCCTTCATCCAAAAAATTAATACAGAAATTGAGGCTACATTAGTGCATTATTGAGGCTTTGTACAGAAATTCACCCATCCTGCCAACAAGGGCAAAAGCCTTTAACCCTACACTATATCTCTTATCTCCAACCAATTGCCAATCCCTGACACAAGATTACTTCCAATAGCTAGTAATCATATGTGTAAAACCTTATCAAGTATGTTCTGTGAATCCATATAACCAATAATTTGTGGTATTTCCCAATGCACATGTGAGTGACATGCTCACAAGAATTCCCTAGTCAGAAAATCCTTCAGTCAAAGATGACCTACCCTTTATAAAACTAGTTTCTCCTTGAGCAGCTTATATTTGTTCAAATACTCATTTGCTCTGCCCCTGAGGATAGAGTCCAGTAAACTTCCACAGATGCGTTAAATTGTTGCATCTGCAAGTAGTTGGTTTCTCCCTCCCTTTCTCCCTTCTAAAATAATGAAGTGACAATTGCAATTTTCCAATGCAATGGCACTATTCCTAAATCAAAGGAATTTTAGAGAGTTATGACTAAAACATCTATAAATTCCTTTTTTTTGTTATGATGGGATTGAGATCATTGGGTCCTGCTGATTTCTCTATCATAAGGAGTCTGATTTTCTCATTCCCATATATTAAAATATAGTTAAATCCACCAGGATTTTCCTTGTGTTCTTCCTCACTGTGAAAGTGGATACAAAGTATTCATTTTGACAGTCTCCTGTTTCATTATTGTCCATTATAATTCAACTTTATTTTCAAACTTCCCTTCCACAGTTTTCATTTAATATATTTCTAATGCTCTTGTTGTTAGTTTTGATTTTGAGTTGCATCTTATTTATTTTTGTTTTTTATATCTCTTATTACTTTCTTTGTAACCCCTTTGCTAATTTTTATAAATCTCCCTATTGAATTTCTAATTTGCCTTATATTTGTGTAGGTCTTTTCTTTTAATTTGATAAATTTGTTCACTATGATTGCTTAACTGAGAAATAGAGAAATATCTTTTAGGGCATGTCCATTTTACATCATACTAAATACTTATTTGAATACATTCCAATGCTTGTCTCGGGGTTTACCCATTAAAAGTTGCACGTTACTGCTCTCTGTGCATTTCACATCCCTTTGAAGTTTGTCTCACTTAAATTTAATATCTGTTTGTGACTCCTATTTCTCTGTTTCACATCAAATTCAGTCACATTATGGTCTCATTGTTAGTTAATTTGTTTTGTTACTCATCACTGAATGTAGTATGACCTGTTTCCTTGTGGGGTTTAAGGTAGATCTAGAAGACTGAGCAACTGCAACATTCAGCAACATTGCCAGGATCTGTGGAAAGGGAAATAAAGTTAATGTTTTGGGTTGATGACCCATTGATAGAACATGGAAAAGGTCACCAGCTTAAAACATTAACTCTGTTTTGCTCTCCATTCGTGCCTCAAGCGGCTGATTATTTCAAGCATCTTCTGTTTTTATTTTAGATTTCCAACGTACACAATATTTTGCTTTTGTTCTAGAAAACTGGCTAGTACATTTTAGAAACCCGTTGCCTTTATTACTTACATTGTTTTGACTCTCCCAGTTTACGTGAAAATTAAAACCACCTTCCTGAAATCCCTTTTCTCCAACTGTAATTGTGTCTTTTATTAATGTCGCATGTCCCCCTCCTATTCCAATCTGATCTTTTTACAGATTGTAAAGCCCAAAATACTTAGCTCCCAAATGATGCCCTGCTTGTAACAACTTCTTTGCAAAGATAACAATTCTTAATTTCAGCAAAACAATTAGCATTTTTCCCCCCTGATGTGCACTTGTGTATACAGCTCTTGTATTATTACTGTCCCACCATGTTAATCTTTGCCATGGATGGGAACAGTGCCATTGTAATTGGAAACTAGGAAAATGAGAAGCAGTTCCAGACGCTGTTCTATGGTGATTTTCCTTTCTCACTCCCATTGAGAGTTAAATCTTTATTACGGCCTATTTTACCAACTCATCTCTAGTTTTGACCATTCTACTTTTGCTCAGCTTTCCCTGGCCCCAGAGACACTTAATATCATAGAGACGGGAAGAGGAAATTTTGGTGATGGACAAAGTGATAATTGTCAAGATAATTTTACAGGAAAAAGAATGAACAGGTACAATTCAGCTGCAGTTGGCCAGTGAGAGGTTAAAGTTGTTGGCAAAAGCAGAATCTGTTACTGAGCGAGGGAGATAGGTTGTGGTTGTCTCTCCAGATTTTCAGGGGGTTATGTGAAGTGGAAGAATATATGCTGACTCTCAGATTCTACGTGTGTTGCTTCAGTTATTTTACCTGACACTGGAAACTGTATTGGGCTATCTACAGAGTGTAAGCCAGGTCACCTCTGGATACAATCAAAGGAGCTTGGCACATGAGGCTTTAAATATATCCCCATTACTCAGCTCAGTTTAATACTACAGGATGGAGGAAGGGGAGCAACGACTCATTGCTAACATTCAAAAGATATCCTACCAATTTTTTAAAAAGGGTACATAAAGTACCTAAATAGGCCCAAGGACAACCTAAGCCTGTTTTTATGTTTATTTTGACAGAGTGGACTTTCATAAATGTTGTGAGAAGCTGCTAGAGCTGCTGGAGAACAGTATGACCTCTTTCCTCTCCCTTTCTATAATATCCCCTCCCTCACTCACCCTCTCCCCTATTGAAAATACCTTTCATAATGAATGGCGAAGATGAGGTTCGATCTGACCAGAGTAAGTCGAGCCTTAGCCACTCCTTTGGATGCTGGCAATCGTCCAGATGTTGTGAGCAAGGCTACAAAATCTACAGAGAGCGACAAGCACAAGCATCACGCTATTACTACACACTTGGGTTATTGTCCAAACAAGACTATTTACTATTATCACAAAAACCGAAAGTGCTGGAGAAACTCAGCAGGTCTGGCAGCAGAGGGGAGAAACAGAATGAGTGTTTCGAGTCCGGTATGAATTCTCCATAGATGCTGCCAGACCTGCCGTGCTTCCCCTACACTTTATCTTCCAGATCTCCAGGATCTGCAGTTTTCTGCTTTAGTTTGGGTGTTTAGTATTTTACCTGTTCTACTGTCGTCCATTGAAATATCCTCAGAGGTGATGTAGGAACGATCATTGGGGCTTTTTTGCAGATTGTCCTCTTTTTCAAGAGGAAAATGTTCAAATCCATCGAACATCTCCTCTGGTTTCTTCCTGAAGCTGCTGGCGTTGTCTGCCGATAGAAAGGGAGGGCTGTTAGCGCTGTCTGGAAACGTTCTTTAAGGTAAGATCTTGTCAACTGATCAGGGTTAAAAGGCTCACCTTTCGGGCAGGTTCTGCAGCAGTGTCCGGGCAATAAAACAGGGGCACGACAGGGCAGCTCGGGACAGTCGTGTTTAATATTTCTGCAGTTTACTTTGCCATTAACTTTGCCTCTTCGATTTATTTGCTTTAAAAGGCAAAGATTTGAAACACAAATCATATCTTTGTTGTTTGAAATATCCAAAAATAACCCGATTGCAAACAATGGAATCTAACGCCTCCCAATATTTGATCTACTGACAACACCGAATGGTCTAGGGAGATCTCACATACAAAGTGATGATGCCACTCATATATTCAAAAGGAGAAAACCGCCGTATTCACCTAAAGGATATCCTTGCATCGATTTATTTGCTTTCCCGTTCCATAATTCCTGATAACAAGATTTACCCAATAAACAACTCAATCCTGATTAACAGCAATATAGTTAACACGTTTGTGATTCAAATACACACGTATTCGGGAGGAGGGACGGTGCTGGGCGTGGGGGGGGGGGCGTGGAATCCAATCAGACTGTACCTACTCCATGAAAAATTAGAAGATGGGCATTTTACTAAAATCGTAAATGTGTACTGCTCTCCTTACAGCTCCCAATCTCTTGCTAATGGGGAAATAATACCTCAGGTAATTGTGGGTAATTTGCAGACGGTGGTCTGAAAGGTTGCCGAGTAGAATTGGTTTATGTTAAATGTAGTGGAAAATTAGGATTTGTTAATTCGTGGCCTCAGCGGAAACATGGGGCATGCGGAGTGTGGCTCAGCTCCCTGGTTACTGAAAAAAAACCCTACAGGGCAACTTGTAGAATAGTTCAGAGCCGCTGTATATTTCCTTCTATTGATTCACAGAAAACGCAAGCCAGGCATTGACTTCTAACTAGACCCCATACCGCGAATGCTGTGAAGCAGACTCTAGGCCCCCTCGAATGAATACTGCCAAGGCTATGGTAAAAGAGCTCACATATCATAAAGGAGAAGAAAATCGTATTATATGACGACCATAACGGAGATTCTAGACTAGGAAGTCTGCTATGTTGTAAAGAATATTGTAAGGTGACCCTACGCGGTAAAGTAGATCTTGTTGGTTAAGGGGCGGGATGTACAGAAGATGCCACAGATTGAGTACTTTCCAGGAGATATCATGGTGCGAATATAGCAAAGAATTATTACATTTGATCTACTGACAATACCGAATGGTCCAGGGAGATTACATTTGGAGGCAGTAAAATAAGTTAACTGAATACTCAGTCGGCGCAAAAACGCTATAAGGGATAGCACTGCCAATATAAAACCATGAATCAAAGGGATGCAGTTGTTTCCCCCGCCCCCCCCCCCACAACACACAGGTAAATAAAGTATAAAATGAGTGGCATTGAGTTCTTTTTTTGTCCCAAATAAAAACAAGCAACCATCCGATGGCCACGAGAAACATACCGGCTCGCAATGGCAAACGACACAGTGCATGATTCCAAAGGGTTGTCCCAAGTCAGGGTGCCAGATATCCCGGAGCGCGTAAAGCTTGTCACCGAAAGAGCAGCCTACAGAATATAAGGCGAACATGTGAGGGCTCGGCCTTTCGCTGGCCGACGTGCCCACCCCCATATCCAGTATTAACCTCAATCCTCTTCATAACACTTAGGAGCTCGGATTCGATTTGCTAAGGATAGAAATACTTGTGTATTTTTCTGTAAAGAAACTTCCCAGAGTTACATTTCTACAACAAGAGACCCACTTCTGAAGAGAGAGAGGTAGGGTAAATCGGAGAACAAACTGCAATCAGTCTGTTATTGTTGCTGCCCATCCCCGCAGAGTCCTGAAACATGGTAAGATAACAAATCAGTCCTGGCGACCGGAGTTACCTGCAGTTCCTTTCCCATGGACGGGGTCATCTTCTGCCTGAATGGGTAGAGAAGGCACCTTCGGTCGCAAACTGGTTGTTTCATCTATCAATTTCAAAATAAAAACAAGGTGCAGCACAGAAACCAGCTCTTCTGTTTTCATTGTGTCTATCGAATCCAACGATTCACTTTCTCACTGGGCAACGGTTCCTTCCAACTAACCACAGTCAGCCGAGAGGCCTTGAGGAGCTTTTGAAAGCTGCGTCAGTTTGTTGTGGCTACAAGAAATGCAAGCACTCCAATAGTGCCCTGTGCTCGAACTCCTTGTTTTTATACACTTCCAAACAAAGCCCTGAATATGCATCCAAGTCAATAAAGCCTTAATCAGTGGAATATTCAAATCGACTCATAGAAAGATGATTAACAGGCACAGCGTGGGATCCTCTTCAAACTCACTGGGAAAGTGTTAAAACAATGAAAACCAGACGTGGCTGGACTCGGAGCCGAGAATCTAGTTGTGTATTTTAAAACAGAGAACTGTCACTGCGAAATTGAATCAATTGAACAGTGAAATACACTTTTATAAAGCCCTGGGCGGTATTTGCATTTATCCAAAGCAGAACAAGACAGGGGGAAATCGTCTGTAAAATCAAGTCCAGAAAGCTGCAAAGTACATTCTGCTTGATTGTGTTACTGTCTAGGGTGGCAACGCCTTTCCTTGTAGCTTCTGCAATGTACCTGTAAACTGTCCAGGTGTTGGAGTACACTGATGGCCTGTCCGTATACATTTCCAATCGAAATGGTCAGCTCCATTTCTGGACTGGTCCATTGGATTTACAGTTTATCCAATGTGTACTACACATGGATCGGAGTTCAGGATCTCGTTTCCTCGGTCCTCTTTATTTGTCTTGAGTTTAAGTGAATCTTGTGATGCCGACGCTGTGGGAGATTTCACTCCCACCAATTTGAGAGAAATCTCAGATTCATGCATTATACAAGCGGCCTCCTTTGTTCTCGAAATTTTAACCAATTTCGTTTCGCTTGTGCAATGTGTTTTGTAAGGATGTAGGGCATATTTTGTTGCAGCATCTTCTAGATCGGGACAAAACAGGAATAAATATTGCCAAGGAGAATATTTCCTGAACCAGAATTGAATCTGAGACCATCCCAAATGATGATGAGCTCACATTCTTCCTGAATCCAATATTCCAGACATATCTAAGATTTCTGACTACAGGAATGGCCCGATCATCTGGTCTCAAAGGACCACATCTGTTTGATCTATTTAAACGAGTAGTGAGCCGGTGAAGTTGATTCTAATGCGAAATGTATTGGATGATATCGCGAAGAAATTCTCTGGGCAATTTCGGGGAGATGGGTCCCTCCGCCAATCAAATAACTAACCCAACGGCAGACTGCATATTTATTCTCGGACTGCCAACTACTGGGCAATAAGCTTATATTTATTATTCTTTCCCATGTGTCTCAACGATTTTTAAAATATCATTTCCAGAATTCTCGCTCCTTAAGTTGCCTGAATTTAGTACAATTTAAACACAATCTTCACTCCACTATGTCTGAGTGGAATTGTAATATTGTTCTCATCTCTCCTCAGCCCCTCTTTGCTCACTAATGCTCACACTCTGAAATAGTGGAATTGGGAGATCTAGAAAGAAAGTTTAGACCAGTCTGACATACAGCAATCTCAGAGCACTCTCCGAGCTAAATTCTACATCAGAACCCAACAGAAACGCAACTAATTACCTCCTCCCCCTTCGTAATCTGTGAGATCCCATGGCATTTTAATATACAATGCTGAACCTAATATAAACGTAAACACATAAACTTTATTTAGTCAGACAATTCTTCACTGGAAGATGTTGCGGCCTACACAGATTGGTCTGTCTTGTCTCACGTAAACCCTGCACATTCTGGAAAATTTGTGTGCGATCTTTAAATGCTGCATTGCCTCAACCTATATCACTGTAATTCACCCACGAAGGAAGCACAGTTTGTAAGGACAGGTTATGAGTTGTCCCATATACTCAATGGTAATGTCCTATGGTGGAAAAGGGTATAGTTCTCCAGCATTTTCTGTTTGTTTCAAATTTCCGCCATCCTCAGTATCTTATTTTGAAATGTATGTAATTTGATAGGTGCAGCATTCAGAATAATCAAAAATCAAGTGGGCCGTGTCAAGGGAGTAAGTACCATTTCAACCGCCAGGCATAAAATGGCAACGCTGATCCTCGCCGGTTGCAGTTATGGGCTTTGCTGCCATACCAATGCAGAAATCAGAAAGGGATCCGGGCAGAGGGAACTGAGGACGATCCCAGAGAGCGATCACGTCTCCTGTAGAACAGAGATAACACAGTGTGGAGCTCGAGGAACACAGCAGGCCAGGCAGCATCAGAGGAGCAGGAAAGTTGATGTTTTGGATCAACTTTTCTATCCTCTGACGCTGCCTGGCCTGCTGTGTTCCTCGAGCTCCACTCTGTTATCTCTGACTCCAGCATCAGCAGTTCTTACTATCTCCTGTAGAACCGCGGAACTGAGCGGAGACACCGTTTCTCGGGGAGAATTCCGGATACCACTCAGTTTCTGGGATCGAGGAATAGCAAACACCAATCAGGTAGCTGGGATGATCCTAACAATAGATCATCATCTTCCCAAAACCTACACATTAAACAGGGAACCCCGTCCGATTCTGCCTTTCTAATCCAGATTATATTGATTTTAAAAATAATTAAAACTGTTCATGTACAACAGCAAAACTGAAGGTTAAGAAGGACATCAAGGCAAATGCACAGTCAGAAATCTAACATTGACCGTGGGCTTGTGAAGTGACCGTGTTGTGCTGAGCAAATTTGCAGGCGCAGTCTGGGGGATTAGGCTCAAAATTGGACGGTTCCCTCTAAAGTTTGCACTGATTTTAATTCGGTGTCACTTCTGGCGTCTGGTAGACTTGGTCCCTGTGGAAATTCTTCTCAAACAATCTGTTTAGTTACAAAAACAGAATGTGCTGGAGAAACTCAGCAGGTCTGACAGCATCTGTGGAGAAAAAAGCAGAGTTAACGTTTCGAATCCAGTGACTCTGCACCAGTCCTGTTTCTGTAGCAATTTCTGTTTTTGAGCCAGAACTCCAGTTCTTTATTTTATTTTCAGGTTAGTTAGACCGCTCTACCCGGCTGTTAAATATAAAAAGGGACGAGTCGAGCTGTGCGGGCGAGAGATGGTTTGGAGAGGTTCAGTGATGTTGGAGACCAGCTGTGAGCGCTGGATGTGGTATACAGAGCGCCACACAAATACACAGAGCGGAGTGGCAAATATTTGTTCGCAGGACAGTGGCAGGAATTCGTGACAACAACAGAACCTGGCTTGATCTTTTTTCTGTTGAATTTGGAAAGAAATGTTCCTTCAGCTCAAGGAACTGCAAACTCAGCCAGCGTTCTTTGAAATGCAGTTCTGAAGCTCCAGAGCTGTTTGTAAGGAGCTGATAATAAATAATACCGGCTCATCACTGAGTGCAATTCAACTCGCACGCTGCTTTACAAAAAGGCCTCAAACATCTTCGAATTAGAAGGTCAAGAAAAGACAGCAAATCAATTAGGCGCTACCACTTCACTGTCTATAAGTTGTTGCCACTTTCAACTTGTGTTCAATATACAGTCCCTGAAAAAGCTTTCAACTTTTTCACTATTATTGATCAAGTGTGCATCAGAGCGAGTATCTAACTGCATTTCTAAAGTGCTCCAGGACAACACAAAACGGTGTTTGAAACCAAAAATTAACAATTTTAAAAAAAAAATTCAGTAAAGGCTCCTAAGACCGGTGCTGTTCCCTGCTCATACAATAAAAAGGCGGTAGCATCTGGATAATGTACAGTGGCATCCTGTCAGACGCAAAACATTACACAAAAGCTATTAGAAACGGTTTCACGATTAAGGTGCTGATATTGTATCATCACTGATCTGCAAACAGTTACTTTGTTATTTGTAACAAAGATCGAAGACGTAACAGGAATGTTTTTCGTGGGATTGGTTAGCTATTGAACGCCTTTATTTCCATTCTTGCGGGACATGTTAGTTCCGTTCATTTTCTCTCTACATATTTATACATACAAACATACCTACATATTGTAAAGATCTGCAGGTAAATACATCCTTACAAGCAGCGCTTCTATCGTACTTTCTGGACCTAAGGCCCATAGGTAAGCATTTCAGTGAGTCGACATGAGATTTGTGTTTTCCACTAACTTTTAAAATTTGATGTTTTAAAAAATTATAGCTCGAAAATTAAACTGACAGCAATGAGTGATTCACCGATGAACCACATTCACACTTGAGCTAACCCTGCCTGCGGCTCCGGCTAGGTCAGTACTCACTTCCCAGACCGGCTCCCAGGTTATTTTCACAACCATAATCCAACTGCAATAATCGGTACAAAAAAAAAGTGATGACTCTACATCTCAATTGCAAAAACATTATTTTGTTTAAGGCTCGGAACAGAATATTTGCAACAACGCAAGACATATTTCCTTAAATTAGTTATTTTTATTACAAATATGATTTAACTTGCCACTGGGTGTAGTTCGATACAATTAACAGGACTCTGTAGTCGTTTCCTATTTTTTTCCACATTCTGTGAGCTTGTTACAAGAGGGTATCTGCTAACTTCGTAAAGACTGACAGGAACGAGTCCCAATCGATTAACAAGCTTTAAAACACATTTGTTTTACATTCCCATTTTAAAAAGTGTTAACCTGTAACATCTAACGTACAGGATCATTTCTATTTTGCCAAGTTCTCTGCTTGTGAAGGGGAAGTGTGTGGACTCGGCTTAAACTTGCAAATTAAATGCCAAACTTCTTCAAGAGCAAATATGCTCGCCTAATAAATCGATGTTTATTATTAATTTGCAAATGCTAAACGCGGCTCGTATTAGTAAAACGTGAGAATCGCTGACATACAATTGCCAATTACACAGCCTCCAAATTAATTTCCTACAGCTACCTTCCCATGTGAACAGTGACGCTGCCGACACTTTCCTTCAGGGTAACGAGGTGTAGATTGATTTTAATTAAGAGTAATTTGTGTTTGGTTCGCATCCTAAATTCAGGAAGGGGGAGGGGAAGACACAATGCATTCCGTCAAAACCGCATTCAAAGGAAACAATGTAATCATATTCTGTCTAAATATTTCCATTAAGGCCAAAGACTTTATGACCAGTCTGTTATAATAACATTTCACATTTCCATTTGGAGTGTAATGAA